ATCATAGAATCTCAAAATTTTCAGTTTGCAAAATAATTTGATAAAATAATTATTGAAACGTTAACTCATCTTTTGACTTTATGGCTCTTTTATTAATGATTCATTTGTCTGCGTTGAAAGTGGCCTAACAAACAAAAGGGATCAGATACTGGGTTGAAAGGAAGTGAAAAAGAAGGCAAAAAAAGATGGATATTTTTAACAGACCAGTCTGTTTTCTTGGAAGCAAAATTATAACGAGTTAAGTGAAGATTCAGTCACATAATGGTTACAGGTTAACAGGAAAAAAAAACCTAGAGGACCCAAAAACTCCTGAACCACCGTGGAAAGCTCCAGCCTCTCTGATGATCACTTAGTTTGTGATAATTTACTAAAGAACAAATAAAATAATCTTATTAAAAAGCTATTAACATCAATAAAATAATGAATAGTTTAGAAACACATTTTTTTTCTAAATCCTGATAATTTTTCAGAGATTGTATATGTATATTGTTGTTAAGTGGGTTTAGTAAATGACAGCATGGGGTCAATTTAACAACTCATCTCACCTCCTGAAGTGGTTTAAAACATTTCCCACACGTCTCACAGCAAGTTTATTCAACTACAACCCTGATGATTATTAACAATAGACACTATTAGTCATCACACTCATATAAAAATACCCAGCAGCAAGAAGCAACTCATCAACAATTAGCTTTCATCTTTGGTTTAAAGGGTTTTAAACACAATTTAGTTTTTGATTGTGAAATAAATTTAATAGCTTACATGAATGAATGAGTAATGAATGAAATAGCTTTAATATTTTTTTCTATATTTACCACGCTGGTACATTTAGTTAAGAGATAAAAATAATTTGATTTAGAAATTTAAATCTGGATGCTCAGAAGTTTGAAGTGTTTTTTTAATCCCTAATGGTCTCAACATGACAGATCTAGTTTGTGTCCTCGCTTGGCCACAACTTTTAATCAGCATCACATTTTCTGCTCTGTCCTCATCGCTGCCATTCTTTCCTTCTCGTCTCTTTCTGCTCGCGTTTCCAAACTGAAATCATTCCCAAGCAAAACCAGATTTTCTGTTTGGTGATAAAATCAAAGCCAGAATGCCTAGGCTCTGATTAATCAATGTAATTTAATTTTACTCGTTAAAAAAACAACATCAGATTTTCTGTTTAGGTTTGTTTTATTGTGGCTACATCAGAAGTGCACAGGGTTTGTCTTTGTTTTCTTTTCAATCTGTTTTTTTAAAGAGGAGATTTGAAAAATGTGCTGAAATGAGCGTTTAGCTTGTGGTGAAGTATAAATATGAAGAGTTTCAAGGATTTTGGAAAATGAGGTTTGTGTGAAAGAATAAAAAAACACATCAATGTCATTTTTACAAATCTCCGTTTTGACTAAACAAAAAAAAGCTTTTAATTACAACAAAGACACAGTATATAATTGCTAAACTGAAACCAAAACATTGCAGTTCCACTTTAAATAGACCCCAACTGAATGATTTAAAAGTGAAAAACAAAAAGGATTTAAAATCATTTCTACTTTAAAGAGAAAGTGGAACACTCCTTTCCTGTAACACTGATAATCCCGACTCAGACTAAATTATCTTGCAGCACACTGGCTTTAACAGCTGACAGAGGTGAGGGTGARGTCATCGTGAACACCTGCAGTCACCTGACGCTGACGGACTTTTCTGCTTTCCTGACCAGGCCGGGCTGAAACTGAAAGACCACATTGTGGACAAGAACAAGTCCCGCAGTGTAACGAACCTAAATAAGAGTAAATTCTTCTGCGTAGAAGGATTTTTATTAAGTCCAAGCAAACTTACCCTAAAAAGGACCGTTGTAGAAAGTTTCAGACAAGTATTGTTGCATGATTAGAAACATCTCAGTGCATTTTTGACTTACTGGTGATAAATACATGTTTCTGTTTTAAAAGTGCTCAAAAGATTAAAAAAAAAACAGACACTTTACATAACTTATGGAAAAGAATGAATCAGATCTAATGTTTAATGTATTTTATACGTTAAACCAAACTACACATCCTTTTCTTCCTGTTTTACAGGCAGTGATTGAATTTAAACACTAACTCACATTTTCGTTGTATTATTGTCTATATACTGCAGTGTTGAGTGTTAATGAAAGAATTCAGCTAAGTGTTCATGCACTTTACACAAACACACTATTTATTGCAGGGTGTGGTGGTAGTTCAGTTACATCAGACTTTGACTCTCTGTGCCTCAGCYTTGGACAAAATGCCAGCGTCTTACAGGAAAATATGTTAATACTTTAAAGCAGGGGTGGAAAATTAATGCTGCCTGAACGGAAATAGAAGCATCATGTTACAGCATGTTAGGCCAGTCACACCAGTAGCAGCAAACAGTGAAACCATAAGAAGAGTTTGTTGTATTTTTTATGTGACTTTGCATTTTGTTTTTCCCCTCAGGTCTTTCTCTTGCAATCCAACGCTTCTCTCAGTCRCTGCAGGAGTTCCAGTTCGAGTGTATCGGAGATGCAGAGACTGACGATGAAATCAATATAGGTGAGACAAGAATGCACGTAATCCTCCAGTAAAAGTGCATCGTCAGCTACCTATAATTGTGCCTGTACAGCATCTGTCTTATAAGCTCATAAAACAGATTTTAAGTGTTTGCTTTTCTTGCAGCTCAGTCCTTAAAAGAGTTCTCTCAGCTGTTAAGCACCATGGAGGAAGAAAGAAAACGACTGGTAAGAGAACATGTGTCTAAAACCAACGTASAGGAAGTTAAGAACGAGGTAGTTTAAAGGGATCCATGATTCGTTGTAACATTAGACTTTATTTGATAAACATATATTTTAACTGCAAAATAAAGACTAAAAATACTGTAGGCTGTTTAGTTTTGTAGTCTTTTAAAAATATATTTTAACATGGACGGAGCCATTTTATTTACACACAAAGCATTCTGGGTAAATGATGACGAGGATAGGTCCTCGGTGCGAGGCTGCTAGTGAGCTATATCCACCCTGAAGGTTAATCTTGGACAATATCTGATGATCGACTCTTTTGAATGAAACCAGAGAGCGTTGACAGAGAGGAGAAGGTAGAAATGACTCAGCCTGGAACTGAAAATATGGATGGAGGACAACAGAGCTGCTTCATGGAAGAACAACCTCAGATTAGCCTGTTAGCTTTAGCATTAGCACTAAGCTAATACATATAAGGCAATATAACATTGGCGCTACCACAAAGGCTAACAGGCTAATCTGAGGTTGTTCTTCCATGAAGCAGCTCTGTTGTCCTCCATCCATATTTTCAGTTCCAGGCTGAGTCATTTCTACCTTCTCCTCTCTGTCAACGCTCTCTGGTTTCATTCAAAAGAGTCGATCATCAGATATTGTCCAAGATTAACCTTCAGGGTGGATATAGCT